GGGTTTAATGTTTAGGGTTTAGGGAGTTTAGGGTTTTGGGGGATTTTGGGTGTAGCCGGCTTTAACAATACAGAATATGTCCTAAGCATTCCTCGGTTGAAGAATGCTTTCGCTCTGGCTAGTCAATATCTTTTCAGGCAACGCAGAAGAGGTGTAAGAACATTAGCTTGCGTAATATAGAGGCCTTAATGATTCGAATAGGGTTTGGGGGCCCAGTATACTATAACTACAATAAGGCTCCCGCAAAATAATGTAGGTAATCATTTAGGCCCCTAAATTACTTAGGCTTCTTCCGCTAAGTACTGCCTGTGTCGTGGACCTCAGCTTCCGGCAGCCACCCGAAACCCTACCTGGCGCCCCCCAGCCCTACAAAATAGTAGGGTTTAGGGTTTAGGGTTTAAGGTTTAGGGTTTAGGGTCTAGGGTCTAGGGTTTAGGGCCTATAACCCCTAGAACAGCAGGCTTTAGATCCCAAGGATTACCCAAACCATGATCCCCAAACCATGATCCCCAAACCCGAAACCCTACCCTATACCCGATCCTAGCACTTGGTCCTAGGACGAGCTGGGATGACGTCGAGCTCGGGGTTTGAGGTTCATAACTTAGGATGCGGGTGTAACGGTCTAGGCTTGGGTTTCGGGTTTAGGGCTATAGGGTTTAGGGTTTAGGGTTTAGGGCTTTGGGGTTTAGGGTTTAGGGCTTGTGGTTTAGGGTTTAGGGTGCAGGCCACAAGTGACATCCCCCCGCCCTCCAAGCCATTAACGCCTCAACCCTCTTACCTACATCACGCAAAGCAAAGAACTACGGGTCCTGTTCTTTGAACCTCAAGAATGTTAACCTTTTCCGGATAGGAAAATAAAGGTGTGTACTACGCAACTAGGTCAACGGTGACTTACCCGACACCTTCGAACCCGACTTTTGGAGAACGACGAGCAGCACCCCAACCCCCAACAAAAAGTCCCAGGCCCCAACCCCAAACCCACATCCCAAAAGCCAAGCCTCCGCGCCAAGCCTCACACAGGAGGAGATTTAACAGTTCTTGGTGCCGGTAGAAGAGCCAAATTCTTGGAGTTCTCTGGCGTTACGCAGTGAGAGGAGCAGTCTCCTCGACGGTTTAGGCAAGCGGCCTGTGTTTACTCAAGGATCAACCTAGGGGACTCCCTAAACCACAAGATACACCCAGACCCTCAACCCCACATCCTACACCGATAAACCCCTAAACGCCTAAACCCATTGTGACCTCAAGTACATAAGCTGATTGTCTGCTGATGCCCGAAACAAACGCAAAGCTGCCCCTCCTCATCAATTAAGTTGACACTTGGTTTCGGTTTTAGGGCGAGTCTGGCCGTAAACCCCGCCTGGGGTTCCAAATCCTGCTTTCAGGGTGGTGATAACCCATTATTTGTAGGGTTTGGGGCTCCCTGCAAGGCCATAGCTTGCAAGTTTGCAACCGGAAGACGCGGAGAAATGCCAAACTTGTAAACATTAGACCTGCGCACCCTCGATTGTAGGGACTTGGGAGTTTAGAGCTTTAGGGTGAAGTATTTTGACTACCATTATGGGATATGGGACTATGTCCCAACAAGCACAAACTGTGTGGTGCTTCAGGGCCTACATCCGTAATGGTAAGAATACCCTCCCTGATTGTGGGCGGGGGGGGGGGGTAAAGCTCAGGTTTTGGGGTTCAGGGTCACCAAGAATCGGATGTCCCAACTCACCCTTTGCCTTCACACGCCTTGCGGCCTTGGCGGTCAAGGTGCAGGGCTCAGGCCCTGCGCCTTGTGATGTCTGTTCAAACTTGCCGCAGGTTCAAATGTCTAAATGCTGTCCGATATTAAAACTTAAGAATGCTGCAAACACCGGAAAAGGTGTCAGCAGGCAAGCTCTTGTGGCCTTGCTGTTTGCAACTCCTTGTCATTGGTTGTTTGTGACGAATTAACGGATCTTTTGCAGGGTTAGAACAGCGGCGATTAAGATATCTCCTTGCCCCTTTCCCTACTTAGGGGCAACTGCCGACAACAACCGTTTTGGTCATTACTTGGGGTTTGGGGATCAGCGTTTCGTTCTACGGGTTTAGGTTTAAGGGTTGAGGTTTCAGCGATGATGGTGTAGGCTTTGGGTTTAATGTTCTGTGTATCGTGCTCTGATTAAACCGGAACTTTGTAAACATATATGATTGCGGAAATTCCAGCCCCTGCATCAGACGGGTAATGATTCAAACTTTCTGGTGTCAGCTGCTGCGATTTAGGTCGGTCAGCGGGAACCAGTTCATCCACACGCACCAGAAAACTCCAGCCTTAAATGATTCCACTCGGGGAAGAATTTTCCCATTACTCATGCGCCCATAGAAATCCAACGTCTTCACAGGACGGTCCGTGGTGTTGTAGAAGGCCCCGATGGCCGAGAACTCTGGGAAGTAGGCCATCACGATTTTTGATCCACCGATCTGCACCTCGACTCTTGGGTTCAGGGTTTATAGGTTTAGGGTTTAGGGTTTAGGGTTTAGGGTTTAGGGTTTAGGGTTCAGGGTTTATAGGTTTAATACACGGGCCCTTTAATAACTACCAAAAAAGTGTTTGGGGTTTCCTTTATTGTATTTATTAATATAATAGTATTCTCATCATAACGGCCCCTACATTAGGGTTTGGGGTCTTCGGGTTCAGGGCCGGCATGCTGTAATTCAGGAGCGTGGGGTTATCTCAGCACTTCCTATCGGTCTACCTTATGACAATTGATGAGGAGCAAAGCAGAGAACCAACCCAACGGCGCCGCGGCCCTATCTGGTCTATGCTTAACGTGGGCCTTCAAGTAGGCCCCAGTTAGGCCTCAGCATGTATGTATACATGGACAACGGAGCCTTAGGGAAAAGCAGATCTGCATTTCAAGGGCTCTTCTTCTGGTTTCCTTACATGAAAGGATCGGTTGCTTGGGCTGGGGGTATAAGGTGGGTGTACATCACGAAAGCTAATAAAGTATAGGGCCTTAATACTTAAAATAGTTCGGGGGTATATTATGGAACAGGTGTATGTGGAACCCTGAGGAACCATATCATTGTTTCCTCAGGCGGCTCATGTTTACAAACTCACCGACTTCTTCTCAGGACGTAACATAGGGGCCTAAATAATTACCAGCATTATTTTTTTGGGGGGGTCCTTATTATAATCATAGTACAATGGGCCCCAAAGCCCTATTCTAACTACCAAGGCCCCTAAACCCTAAACCCTTCTAGTAGCCCTCTGTCAGATTCGGGCTTCTGTAGTACCTAAACCCTAAACCCTAAAACCCTAAACCCTAAACCCCTAGGCACATTCACAATCTTCTTCTCCTGGAGGAAGTCCTTGGTGTATGCCACGGCATCGCCCTGCAAGGGGACCACATAGACCAGTTCCTGGCTGAAGTCTGTGGGGCTTAGCGTTTAGCGTTTAGGGTTTAGGGTTTATTTAGGTTTAGGGTTTAGGGTTTAAGTATCGAGGGTTATGGCTAAGCCCCAAACCCTTAACGGCTATGGCTTCAAGTGTTTCGCGTAAGGGTTTATGGGGCTTCGGATTTCGGGGTTTGTGGGCTTACGTGGGCTTAGCCTGTAAGATTCTAGGGCTGGGGGCTTAGGGGAAAGACTAAGCTCTCCTTCGACATGGCCCGCCCCCCATAAGCAAGCGATATCCAGACAAGCACACCTGAATACGATCCTGAACCCCAAACCCTAAATCCCTAAACCCTAAACCCTAAATCCCTAAATCCCTGAAACCCTAAATCCCTAAATCCCTAAATCCCTAAACCCTAAACCCTAAATCCCTAAACCCTAAATCCCTAAATCCTAAATCCCGAAATCCCGAAACCCTAAATCCTAAACCCCTAAACCCTAAACCCTAAATCCCTAAACCCTAAACCCTAAATCCTAAAGCCCTAAGTCCAGAGCCAGGGGTTCCTTGCTGGGAAGTCTGCTGTCCAAGTTCTTCAGGGTGGGAAACACTGGCTTCTCCTCAGTGGCCCAGGGTTCAGGGATTTAGGGATTTAGGGTTTAGGGATTTAAGGTTTAGGGTTTAGGGTTTAGGATTTAGGGATTTAGGGTTAGGGTTAAGGGTTAAGGGTTTTGATGATGAGAATCATAAGGGTATCTGTACCGTTTTTCTTTGTTAAGAGTTTAGGGCCAGTGGGTATGGTTGAGTGTGTGTTGACGATCAGCTTTCAGGATTTACTGTAGCCTTTCATATGGTTTTAAGTCATGGGTTTCCACTATCATCCAGTGTCTTACTACCAACAAGACCCCGCAAAAAAAGAAAGGTAAAAGGCTGCTAGCTGGGGGCCAAGATTCGTTGGTCTTCTGGTATATGATGGATTGGGAGAAGATCGTGTCCATCAGAAGGTCATAGAGGTATACCACAGGGTTCTCGGAGAAGCTTCGTTTCAGACCCTTGGTGGAGTAATCGTTCACCTTTCTTCCCCAATGGGACAGGGAAATAAAAAGGTTAAACTTTCAGATTACTACTAAGTTATAACCCTAAACCCTAAACCCTAAACTTTCAGATTATTACTAAGTTATAAGAACCCAGAAAGTTTAGTAATGAAAGAACCAAGTCACAAAGACCTTCGCACCCGACCATGCTTTGCAGAAGTCCTTCAGCGTGAGCCGGTACGTAGGCCATTCCTTCATCCGCTCCACCTCCAGAAGGAGGCTGCATCTGAGGGTAGTTCATGTTCAGGGCGCAAACTCTTCTGTCTTCTATCTAAAGTTGAACCCATGGGCCCCTAGCATGGGCCCTTAACCCTGGGACCCTTATATACCTACTATATACCCTTAAGGGTCCCTAGAACCCTCTAAGGGTCCATATTAGGGGCCCATACTTCTAAGCTTGGATTCTAGGGCTTTTAAGGTTTAGGGGTTTAGGGTTTGCCAGAGGCGTCCCGGATGCCCAAGTCTCCCAACTACAATCCACAATCCTTGTAAGGTTTGGGGGTATATTGTACTCAAACTATAATAAGGAAGCCCCAAAATAGTATAGGTAATTATTTAAGTCCATATATATTTTAAACCCTAAACCCTCAACTTCCAAAAAACAACGCCGTCTCTTCCCGCAACGCTAGCTTTAAAGAATTTCCCACGCAGCTGAAGGTAGTTCATGTTCAGGGCTTAGACTCTTCTGTCTTTTAGGGCTTTTAAGGCTTAGGGTTTTAGGGTTGAGGGGTTTGGGGTTTGGGGTTTAGGGGTTTAGGGTTTAGGGCTTATATGGCTTCAGGTGTCGACTTAGCAAAGCAACTAGGGCGGCATCAACTCTGCATCCCTTCTCGATGGCGCCCCTGAGCCGAAACTCTCTGAAACTATTCATGTAATTTAATTAGGGTTTAGGGTTTAGGGTTTAGGGTTTAGGGTTTAGGGTTTTTAATTACCGGCCCCAAACCTTGAGCCTTACTAGCCCAGAATATGGGGGGTTTTCCGGGGGTTGCGAGCAAGTAAAGGGTATAGAAGTGAATTGTTGGGGTTTAAAAGGTTAGGAGGCATTTTGATGTAGCACTTGAGGTTTAGCGTAAAATTTCCTGGGCCAAAACCATGGTACTCTCAATGGCTGAAGCTAGATTCCCTCAGAGAAAGTACCGAAATGCGAGTAAACCCCAAACTCGCCTTTTCAAGCCCACATTGGCACTCCATCCGGTCTTCCGTGGTGCCCCACAGCTGCTGCACTGGCTCCATGCTGTTCTTATCCTCAGCAGACCCAGAAGACATAATTCTAGAGAAGCTTGGCTAGAGACTGTGGCCTTTTTGCCCTTTTTATATGGGAACAGCTTTGTCTCATACCCTACACGCTGGACCCCAAATCCTACATGCCAAACCCCAAACCCTAAACCCTTACAGCCCTAGACCTCTCCTAAATCCAATCAGCCTCTTAGACCCTAACACTTAGTTCCCAAAACCCCTGAAGCCCTAAACCCCTACCTAGAAGCCCTAAAGACCCTCAACTAGTCCATTCTCGTACACCCTCGGCCCCAACCCTTGAAGACGCCCTCAAAATCCCCGACAAACACTAACGACACCTAAAAGAGGCCCAGTCTCGTACATGACCAAGTTGTTCTCCAGCTGCGTCATGGGATGGAGATCCAGGTGCTTGCCACCCAGCTCGGGGGTATAGGCCTAGGTTTCCCTGAATCAGAGAGACCCTTAGGGGGGTTAGAAGGGTAGGGGACTATGCTTCGTTAAATAGACCTTATTAGGTCCTTATTACAGGTATTAAGGTACCCCCTAAGGGTCCTTATGACTGAATGATGAAAACGAGCATCCATAAACCAACAACAGTGAACATGACATGATAACAAGAACAACAAATGTTCAAACCTATTATGATAACTGACAATCATACGAACAACGATTACAACAATACCTGTTAATCTTGCTGATCATCAGGGTCCAGGCGTAGGGTTACAATAGTGTCGAACTGAGAAGGGAGCCTCGGCAAAAGAAGTCAAACAGGCTCTAATTGCAAGCCTCGAAGCGATGCCGAGGTTGGACAGGCCGCAGTATGTTAGCACAACATCATCACCGAGGTCGCCTCCACTTGCGACGTGAGGACGCAGCACCTTGCATGCTGTACACCAAACCCAATTTACCCTAAGGGTCCAAGTACCCAAATAGTAGGGTTTCAAGGTCCAAAATCCACTCAGCGTATGGATTTTGGAACCTGTAAACCTTACTATTTGGGTACTCGGACCCTCTGGGTTACCCTAAATAACCATCAATTGGGCTTATACAAGCAAGTCATATTCCGGAACTCTGACAAGGTGGGTTTCTGAGGGTCCAGGTAGGGCTCTCCAAGAGGGTCCATCTGCACCATCATGAACGAATCGGGGCCCGGAAGACCATCCTTGCAATCTTACTATGACTTTAACAGTTTAGGGTTTAGGGTTTGGGTTTAGGGTTTGGGTACATGGACTTTAACTACCCTGAGGGTCCATGTACTCATATAGTAATATACATTGGCCCCAAAGTACCTACATAGGGACTACTTGAAGGCCAAAGTGTATAATATTTGGGTACATGGACCCTTTAGGCTACAGAGGTTTATGCTGGTATGGCAGTACATCTGAACTCTCCAAGATTTTCGGTTCTAAAGACTTTACAGCACTTCGGGTTCAATAAGTACTCGCACGTAGACTGCAGCTCCAATCGTACGTCCTTCAGGGCCAAGGTTAGTAATAATTCTAGGCCTTTGAGTATTCGTCTTCTTGGGCTTCACATTACAATATGGGTGGTTGTCAAAATTATGGTCCCTTTTTGGGTCCTTATTATAGGACCATAATTTTGACAACTACCCATATGATCCGGGCTCCCACATGGAGTACTGCAAAGGCCTTGCACTTGAGACTGAAGTTCGATTGCCTATACCTGGAACTGGGTCTGGTCGTGTCAGGAGCCACCCTCAAAGTAAGGACCCCTAAACAGGGTATAGGGTTTAGGGTTTAGGGGTTTAGGGGTTTAGGGTTTAGGGTTTAGGGTTTAGGGAAAAACGTCCAAGCAAGCCCTGTTTCAAACAGCCCACATGAGGCCAGAGCACCTGGGTGTCGGGATAGGCAACGGCCTTGCCATCACGCTCCTTGGCTGACTTCTGAACCCCTCCAAAAGTTAAACTTTTAGTGCCTTATTATAGTTCATATAGAAAGCCCAAAAGTTAAAGTCCTAAGAGCCAACCAGAAGAACACCAAGGCTCAATGATGATGCACGTTTCCTCAAGTCCACCTGTCTACAACGGAGGGTCTGGCAAGATTACATGTCGGGAGACTTCGGGATTTTGATGCGGCTTCATGGGATTGCGTAGGGCTTCTATTAAGCTTCAGGGCCCTCTCATGGCCTGCTCAAACCGTACAAAACACGGTCTTTGCGTGTTGAGTCATGACAAAGGCTACAAAATCTGACTCAATCACAAGCCAGGCTTGTGAGCCCCAAAACCGTACACCCACAAGAAAAAACAAAAAGATAACCTGTACAGGGTACTGCAAGGGTTGTTGTAAAGGGTTTTACAAGGGTGATATAAGGCTTCTTCGGCAGGTCTAGTGTCACCGTCCTGAACCGTAGCCCGGACGTAAAGCATATGCTTACTTAAACTAGCAAAAACTACCTTTTTGTAGGGTCAATGTTTGTTTTATTTTAGGGTTTATACTAGGGACCTAATTGGTAGTTCAAGGTAGGCCTGGAAAAGATTGCCGGATATTGTAAACGTGCTAACCTTAGGGCCGAAACCCAACTACACAGGTATGTGGACTCTTACTGTGGGGGCTTCCAGGCTGCATCGTTTTCTGCGTACGCAGTCTAGCAACTTTCCTGGCATAACAGCTCCACAAACATCACAAAGAACTACATTGAAGGGTCGGCCATGCGTTGTACAGGGCCTTGCTCAGATTCTCTTTTATGTCAGCAGAGAGCCGCAACAGCGAGAGATAGGCTATATGCCCTAAACCCTAAACCCTAAACCCCTAACCTCCGCTGAAAAGCCGTTCCAAAATGCTGCAACAACTGCCATCTCTAAACACTACCCCTCTCTCCATACTGTTGATGGACACAAGTCTGCATGACCCAAATATAGTATGGCACCATGAATCCCAGAGTTTAGGTATATAAGGTCATGCAGGATTTGGTCCATCAGCCGTATCATCATCATGTATAGTTAGCAGGTTTGTGGGTGCAGATAAGGGGTTTTGGGCTACAGGTTTTTGCAGGCGAGCAGACCCTAAACCCTAAACCCTAAACCCTACATGGGCTCTACAGGAACCCGAAGGGCAAAACTGCAGTACAACAACAGCAGCAAACATAGTTTATTCTGACAAGAATATTTTTACAGCTGTACCTCTATGTATATATATATATACACACTGCATTATAAATATTGGTGTATATCTATAACATATACTGTACACCTATTAAGAATACATGTTATATATATATATATATTCTAAGATCCTATCTGTGTATATAAATAAATAAATATAGATATATATATATATGTATGCAGTACTACTCCGCACCCACAAAGCCAACCATCGAATGACAATGAGTCCCACGAAAACAGCACAAACGAACGGTTTCGAAGTACCACTTGTATGTCCCAAGCCTCGGAGTGTTTCAGGCACAGGGTGCTACACCAACCCAAGTACCTTAGAATTGGGTACTTCGGGGCGCTGTTTGGAAAATGCTAGCTTCCACAAACAAGGGAATACCCTCACTATATGTCTGACCTCTTTGCCAATGTACCCCAAAACCTAAATTCTAAATATCTTTCAACACTGTTTTTGTAGAAATCTAAAATGAATTACTGCAACTACTAAACAGTATACGTATTTATTCCGACCCCTGCATGCAGGATTCTCGCTCCGTCAATTCGGAAATCGTAGGAACAGATACCAAATCTGACTTGGAACACCTTTAAAACAAGGAAAAATAATAGGCCCTGCAATCCCGTGCCGGCCTGGAAGCAGCTTTTTGGCCTCGTCTTGGGACACGAAGACGGCCTCCTTTGCCTGGTTCCTGACCGCTCAGGGTTCAGGGATGCTTAGCGGTATTTTGGGTTTAGGGTTTAGGGTTCAGGGTTTAGGGGTATTTTGGGTTTAGGGGCGTAGGATTTTGCATTTAGGGTTCGGGGTTTGGCTTTGAAGGTACGTGGTTAAGTCCATGGGTTGGCTGAGTGATTGCAGACTTGATGAAGCGACTGGTGGAGGCCATGCTGCGGGCAATGAAGAAGATAGCAGTAGTGACGGTGGAAGAAAGTTCCATGGCTGATGCGCTGATGCCGACTTGTCCTTCATGATGGTGATGACGACGACGATGTCGACAATGGTGAGGGTGATGCTGAACATGAAAGGGGGCGTCAAACCAGGCGATACTAGTCAATCTGTCACAGGCATGTGCTAGTGGTGCTGCTGGCCGCCACGGGGCTACGATGTGCTTCCAATCTTAGGCTTTGGGATCAAGATGGATCGAGTCTTGCATTCTTGGCGTTGCAAGTTTACTGATCCACGACAGCGATCGTCGGATTTTGTGAACTGCCATGATCCATGGTTCGAGGCACTTGTAGCATCGACATCGGAAGGCTTCAGTGGCAAGTCTGTTTTTGAATTTTTGGGCTTGGGATTTGTGGAGTTGGGGTCCCTAAACCCTAAACCCGAAACCCTAAACCGTGGCAAGTCTGTTTATGGATATTTGGGCTTGGGATTTGTGGGGTTGGGGGGGGGTGTCAACGGCGCGCCTCGCGCGCATCATGAAGTGAGGGTTGATGGCCGAGGAGAAGTAAAGGAGACCGGTCCTGCTCGCAAAGCGTTAAATTAACAACGCGTAGCTTCCTCTGTACTGCCAAGCTTGAGCTCTACTTCTGTTAGATTGCAAGACTTTCGGAAATCTTTTGTCAGAGGAGCAAGGGCCCTAAAATATTGTAAATCAAAGCATACGTACTTTTATTATATGTGCATACATATATATATATATGTATGCACAGATATACTTACACATATATATATATATATACACATACATACATATTCATAGATATACATACATATATACATACCCATACACATACACACATATACATACACACATACACACACAT